AAGAAGGCGATCGACGAATCCATGATGGAGACGCCAATGAAGAGGTGCCTGACGACGTTCGACCTGGCCTTCCTTGGGATCGGCCACATGATCGGTGCCGGTATTTACGTGCTGACCGGTACGGTGGCGAAGAACATGGCCGGACCGGGCATCGTTCTGTCGTTTCTGTTTGCCGGCATCGCGTCGTTCCTGTCCGCCCTGTGTTACGCTGAGTTTGGCGCCAGGGTGCCGAAAGCCGGCTCCGCGTACAGTTACACGTACGTCACAGTCGGCGAGTTGTGGGCTTTCGTGGTCGGCTGGAACATCATCTTCGAACACATGCTGTGTGCTGCCGCTGTCGCCCGAAGCTGGTCGGGCTACATGGACTCGATGCTTGGTCACATCATCTACAACCAGACTAACGGTCAGCTGGGTGTTCTGCACATTGGCATGTTCGACGTACAGCCGGATCTGGTGTCTTTCATGATCGTGGTGCTAGTCTGTTTGTTCCTTGGTATAGGTGCCAAGTGTTCGACGGTCACAAATACCGTTCTCACGGTGCTCAACGTCTTTGTCATTTGTTTCGTCGTCGTATATGGCCTGATTCTGGCTCGACCTGAGTACTGGACACAGAAGGACAACGGAGGATTTCTACCGTACGGCATGTCTGGTGTGTTCGTCGGAGCCGCGAGTTGTTTCTTTGCCTACGTTGGGTTTGACAGCATCGCGACAGCTGGTGAAGAAGCGAAAAACCCAAACCGCAGCATCCCGATGGCCACTTTCATTTCTTTGTCTACAGTAACCGTCGCCTATATGCTCATGGGAGGAGCGCTGACCATGATGATACCGTATTATGATATACATCATTCGTCAGCTTTCACAGACGCGTTTGAGCAGCGCGGCATCACGTGGGCCAAATACGTAATAGCCATTGGTGCCCTGAGCGGTATGACCACGTCCCTGATTGGAGCACTGTTCGCTCTACCGCGCTGTGTCTACGCAATGGCCGCTGACGGCTTACTGTTTCCTTTCCTGGCACACATCAGTACCAAAACACAGACTCCGACAATAGCCATGGCCATCTTTGGAGGGGTGACAGCTGTTATCGCTCTTCTGTTCGACGTTGACACGTTAGTCGAGTTCCTGTCGATCGGCACACTCATGGCGTACACGATCGTCTCCTGCTGTGTCATCATTCTTCGCTACCAGCCTGCCGCCAAACTCCCGTCTGCTACGACAATAAAGGAGTCTTCCGGCGCCTCAGCTATTACCTCGCCGCACTCAGAAAGCGATGCCCTCGTAGAGCCGGAGGGTGGAAAGTTGAAGAAACGATACGCCTTCCTAAGTCCATACCTCGGTAGATTTCTGCCCGGCAAAGTCGTCACGTACAGCGTAGCCACGCAGATGGTCATCATGATGCTTTTTTCTTGTACAATCTTCCGATGGAGCAAACTGTTGGGCAATCTGTGGACAGCGGTCATCGGCATTGCCACAGCGGTTGTGATGCTCATCTGCTTGGGTCTCATCATGGTTCATGATCAGAACTCAGTACCGTTAGCGTTCAAGGTAAACGCTTTCACTAATCTTCCGTCTTTTCCTTTTTTAATCAAAAGTTTTACTCTTATCAAACAAAGCGAATACACTCGTATAACAGTTAGCAACTTTCGCATTCTAATGACAAACAGCTGCTATATTTTTGTTTCAAAGACATATGAATTGCTCGGCATTTGGAAGGGAAAAGAATGGCAGAAGGACCCCCCAGTTTTCGTTTCTACAAGCAAATATTTTACCGTCAATAATTCCTTCATATCGGCATTGATTTGAAATTAATTTTAAGTTCAGGCAGGGTAGCTAATCTTTCATTTTCACTACATTTTCTTCAGGCTTACTCGTAACCACAGCCGTCTGCATTGCCGCCACCCGATTGGTCAGTGAATCAGTTTTCGATGACAGTTTATCCATTTGGGTTACGGAAGTAAAAGTGCCAGACCGTGTCTCCAAAGTTTGCAACCATGCACCAGCATCGCAGCTTCGGCAGAAAATACTCCGAGTTTGGAGCAGAGTCCTTCGATGAATTTGCCAAGGGTCAGTGTTTGCCTTCTCCGGAGTCTTCGGCCAGTCAGTCGAGCAAGTTGTGGCTCTATGTTTCCCCTTCCTTTCCAGAAACATTGGCAAAACGTGTC